ATGTAATATACCAGACAATACCTCACTTGCTCAGGTAGCAATGTCAGATGCTTAAATATTTATAAGTCTAAATTTGCATTGTTTTTTCATTATACCACATCAATTTCTAAACTTTTAGTTTTATTGATTGGGATTCTATTTCTTTTCTTCGATTTAACATGAATGGATTCATCAGAAACAATACCTCCTTTGTCTAGATAGCAAAATTTAAGTTTTGCACTACTCTGACTTCTTCTGTAAATTTAAGATAGTGGCAAAGCTAACTTAAAATATCTGCATTTTGCTTTAAAATACGACTTTTGTAACATTGAACTGGTTTCCTCTAAATGTTTCCATGTTCTTCTATTTTGAAAGAATGTTCCTAGATCCCTAGTTTTGTGATTAAACGAGTAAATATTATGTAAGTACTCATTTTTCCAAACATAAAAGTTATTTTAAATTTCATTAGCTATGGTCTGATCCTTATAATTAATATCATTAGAAAAAGAAATTATATCTGTATATAAATGAATGTTCATGTAATACTCTTAGTAATTTCAACTAAAAATATTTAAAATTGCAATTCGAATCAAGTTGTAGTGTAGTAGTCAAACATGCTTGCTAACTCTTATAATATTACACACCCGCCAAATCTCTTGTTTTTTAAGGAAGACTCCTGTATTTTACGACTATCTCCTGTTTACCTGTGTATTCTCAAATTTCTCTGTACTTGTTGCTGAAATTTTTAAAAGAAAATCCATAAAATATCTGCTGATGGCAAAAATACTCAACTGATAGTGCTATTGCCAGTACTGCAATATGTTTAGTGTTAATAGTTTAAGTACTCCTCAAGGTCAGGGCTAACCGTGGGACGTTTTCGTGATTTTCCTCTCTATGTTACGCAAATGCAGGTAAGTTCCATCAAAAAGTCCGCCTTGAAGGCAAATTTCTCCCAATACTTGATTGATCCAGGAGTTACCTTGTACTCTGGATTGGGTTCAAAACTACAAGTCTACAGAGTGCAACATTAGTAGCCTTGAACCCAAAATTGGGTCAGATATTTAACAACGATGTAAAAATAGTTTAAGCCATTATAAATAATAATTTTAAAAAATCTTCTTTAGATTTATAAACATAGTTTTTACTTCCCTAAATGTAAGTGCTTATATTATTTCCAATTTTGAATTTCTCTTTTTGACTTGCATGATGTTTCAAAACTTTACTTGTAGCCTAAAATATATCGCTAGTAAAATCTCCATTATTTTATTTCTCCAATGTTGGCAGGTATGATATTAACTATGAGTGCTTGTCTTTGTTGTATTCTGCCTATTTACTCAGCTTTTTCTTCAGACTTCCCCTTTTCAACAGACTGATTGGTTCTGAAAACAAAGAAATTTCAGAAAAATATTCTTTTCTGAAGAGTGAAAATGAGAACAAGGACATAAGATGTTTGAAAGGACTGCATGAGAATAATAGTGAGATTAATGACGTAAGAAATCCTGGGTTTGCATCCAGCATTTAGAAATAATTCTAGCAAAGGAATGTCTATTGAGAAATCAACTGTTATCATTTAGCAAGCTTGGAGACAGTAAGTTGTCTAAGTGATAAAAACTCTATATAATTTCCTTCAGAGATACATTTTTTTTAAAAATTAAATTGCAAAATGTACCATATTCTTATATTTTTTCAATTATGCCTATTATTTTTCAAAATATACCTGATTGTTTTTCAATTACTTTAACACTTGACTGCCTTTTATAGTGGTATCTTTTTCAGTATTTTACATTTTTGAAATGTTCAATTAATTATACATAGCTGCCAACTGTACTGGATTTTGCCAGCTTCTCCTGGTCTACAGGTTTAATAAAAATTCTCCAGGTTTTTGTATATTTTAGAAAATTCCCTAAAATATAGTAAGTTTCCTTAAAAAAATCCCTATTGAAATAGAATTTTTGTACAGATAATTACTTGAATATTTAAATAAATATTACTAATAAATAAAGAAGTGAACCTCATTTCTAGAAATCGGTTCAAAACTCTTTTTGTTCTAAAATGTTCAATTTATTTTCATTCAAATCTCTCTTCTTAAACTAATTAAAAAAATCTTTTAACTATCTTTGATGAATTAAATACCTATTAATATTCGAAATTATGAGTAAACATAATACATAACATTTCAGGTATGTTTAATGTCAATCATAGCTGGAAAATATTGCAATTTTTTTATTTTGATGATTATAAAAATCCCTAATATTCCCTATGAGTAAAATATTTAGTACATTATGAAACAATTATCATGAAATTTATATTTCGTAAAATCTACTGGATTTTTTCCTATTATGTTAGCAGCTATGCTTTAAAAAGAAATGTTACTTTTTTCTGTTAAAAGTCCATGCATGTTTGTGATGTTGAATCCCCCTCTTCAAAATCTAACTTTATTTTAATATTTTAGAA